TGAGAACAATAGCTGAACAAGGAAGGCTCCATGAAAAGGCTGTAGGTTGATGACTATCAGTGGTTTGTTGGTGTGGGCTTGGGGCAGGTGGAGGACAGGGCAGAAGGGAAAGGGTTTCTACAGGAGTCTGAAAGTCTAGATCCCACCTATTCCTGTCAACATGTGACCGTGGTCAAATGTCTTCACTGATCTGAGCTGCAGTTTTGCTTTTTATAAAATGCCTGACATTTTACATATCCACGTGTCACGAAGCCTTTTGTGAACTTCAAATAATGTACTGTTTATGAAAGACACTGGAAAGTTGTAAAGTGAGATTCAAATACGGGGGAGAACAATATTGTTCATATGGTTTGGACTCCAATCAGCTCTTGCCTCTTGCTACAACTCTCAGATACTATTTATCCAAGTAGAACCACAGACAGGGAGAAAGACAAGACAGGACAGGGACCCTAGCCATTGGAGCCTGAGATGGCCACCAGAGCCTGGCCAGGACTGAGCTGACAGTGTCCAAGAAGAAAAGAAACAGGCTGAAGAGTGGTGTGGTATCACTGACAGCTCCATAGTGGATTGTTCCTTATTTGAGCATTTGTTTATATCATTTGGAACACTTCTGCTTTTGTGGGTGATGAGTTATCATCTTTTTAAATTCTAAGATTAAATACTAGCACATATGGAGTCACCTTTCTAGAGCAGTCATATAAAAAGGTGCCAGGCGAGGAAGTAATATCCACTGAGTATGATACTATGGACCAGGCATTTGCATGGCAAATATGTTTATTTAGCCCTTATTAATACTACTCCCCCTGAGGGGTGCCCGGCCAGCTCAGTCAGAAGAACATGCAGCTCTTGATCTTGGGGTTGTGAGTTTGAGCCCCATGTGGGGTACAGAGATTACTTAAATAAATAAACTTAAAAAAAAAAAAACTCATCTGAGAGGATCAGCCAATGACAAAGCAGAGGGAAGTGTAGTTTTTGCGAGAGATGCTGGCTCCCACCATGCTCCTGGATGCGTGAGGCTGTGGCACGGGGACAAGGGACCAGCCAAAGTGCAGAGTGGTTTTGTCCTCCCCAGGCCTGAAACCTTCCCCCAGAGATTGCTGAACCATGCCTATGTACCATGTGTATGTTGACCAAAGCTCCTAAGTATCTCTATAAAAGAAAATCATTGCTATTTTATGACGTGGAAACATGGATAGAAGTACTTTTTGAATAGATAACAATGAAGGTATTGTTTCAAGTACATAAATTGAGATAAAACTAAAAAAAACATGAGGATAATAAATTCTGCATAGTGATTTCCTCATATGGGAGAGAAGGGGAACAAAATAGAGAGGGATTACTTAGATGTAAATCATTGTCAATATTCTGGTTCTGTAGTTGGGCGTTGGGATCAAGGGAATTTGTGCATTGTTAGAATAAACCAACAATAAAAGAAAATGAAGTAGAGCCTTGCATGAAACAAGGACAGTGACCATGTGTGAACTGAAGATTAGGATTAGTGCAATTCTATGTATCTGATTATTAGAAAAACAAATGAAGAAACAAAGAAATGAACAAATAGAAGAATAATCAATGGAATGAAAGAGTGGGCAGATGGATGCCCTCTGTACGTTGCACTCTCTTGTGATAGTTTTTTACTCTACAAGTTGATCTCATGACAAGGCTCTTTCCTGGTGTAATTTATTTGGGGCAGGTAAAATCAAACTTAGGGAGATACTGGAATGAGGAAAGATGTTGCAATTAAATAATAGGGCAGTTTCTAGTCTTCTGAAAATGTGTTAGTCAGCATTGAAATGATGACCAACCCTTGGCACGCCTTTCAGTGTCCTAGGATTGCAGCTGCTAAGGGCAATGGATGGTGGCAGTGAACCGTGCCATCTGAAGACATAGATGTCATCTCTAGTTCAAGTTTTCTTCCAGTAGGAATTTCTTAAAGCAGTAGGCATACATTTAGCTCCTGCAAGGAGGTAGACACTGTTTTAAGTCCTTTTATAAAGCTGGCCTGACCCAGATTTTACTGTAGGATTGTTACTCTTAGTCTCATTGGAGTAACATATACATAAGCAATGACATCGGCTAAGATGGGAAACCAAGTGAAGGTGTGTGATGAAAAGTCTGGAGAGGAAAGATGAGAGGAAAGAGGCCAGGGAAGTTTTCAAGGGGTGATTTGGGGGATGAACGACTTTTCTGGGGACTTAATCCATCTAGTCTCATTTTCAAGACTTTTAATAAAAGGCATCAGTTCCTTTGACAAAAGTTTGTCTTAGGAAGTTGGGAGAATTTTAGGGAACCAGAAAAATCTTGTCTCCACTTCTCTGATCAAAGAGGAGAATCATGACTGTTAAGGAGTGATTTCCTTCTACTGTAAATTGGCACCGATTAGTTTCTGCTGCTTCTTTCTTCTGTGGCTCATTTTCCTCCCCTCCTTGCCCCTTTTCTCTTTTCCTCTACCCCATCCCTTCCTCCTCTTCCTCTTTTTTCCCCTGTATTCTTAAGGATCAAATAGATTATTTGTGAAACTGAGATTGGCCCATGATTCTTTTGAAAGACTCAAGAAAGTGAATCAACTTTACATGAATTTTAAAAGGTATTTTCAAGCAAAACCATGAGGAACTTGGCTGAATTACCTAATTTTAATATTTTGGCATATTACACAAGCAAATAAAGGTCTCATTTTCATATACACAGAGTCTCTCTATATAAAATTCTACTTGTCTGTATATAGACACACATATGTGTATATCTAGAAATGTACGTGTAATAACTGAAACTTCATTCTGGCAAGTAGTAGTATGCATAATACCCTATAAGAGCAGTATTGCAATGCCAGATAATGTTTATTCTTGAACAAATCTGTGCAAAAGCAGCTAGTTATCTCTTTGGGTTAAAAAACATTGAAAAATGTGTTCAGGATGACCAAAACAATCATGCCTTAGTGAAGAAGGGAGCCCAAGGGACAGATACATAAAAGATAGAAATAGTCCCTTTAGTTCCTCAGTTTACAGTTTTGAAATACCTGGCAGGTTATAGTGTGTTAACTTTGGGAAAGTCGGGGAGGAATTTGGCAGTTATCTGATGGAGCAGCTTTTGTGACTTCTCTATAAAGTGAAGAAACTTTCATTTGATATATTACTCATTACTGATTTTACTGAAATAGTTATTTTTCTAATCTTCACAAAATAGTTTCCATTTAAACAGTAAAAAAAAAAAACTTGAAGGGTTTTACTCATGATTTAATCTTTCTCTTTCTTATAAATGTTACCTTATTTTAAAATCACCAACTTCATCAACGGTTTTTGACAAAAATCTCTTCTTCAGTCCAAAGGGTGACCAATGAAACAAGCATTATTAGAACTATCAATCATACCACAAATATTAACTAGAATAATTCTACCTTAGGTGATAAATGGCAACTTTAATTCTGATTTCTTTATAACATGTCTGTTAAATAATATGAATAGATTATGATCAACATGATACTTGAGAAGTCTGAAGTAAAGTTTTTCTCCATGTGGGGAGAAATCACTATTTTTTGAGGATTAAAGGGTTATGAACTCAGGGACACCTAATCAATATTTGTGAGCACTGGGGCGTGGGGAGGACTATTCTAGAAACTTAGGTTTGTGAGGGATTCCTGATTAAGCAAGGCTTAGGAATTAGCCATCTTCAGAGCCCCACTGTAGTTTGGATCAATCCTTGTCCAGTTTTAGAGTCATGTGGTCAGGGGCCCTGGTCAGACTGGCAGTGGAGGGGGGTCTGGGAGATGGGCACTTGCCTGTCCACGGTACTGACATGACTAGTTGCCCTGCACCACTCCTTCCCTGGCCTCTGAAACTTCAAGGAGCAGTTTCTTCATATGGGTGAGTTTCTCCTCTGCACAGATGTTTTGCCTGCTGCACTTTGCCCTAAGAAATGATTATAAGAAGAAAAAATACTTAGGTTGAGTGTTTTCCCACACATTACTAGTGCATCTTTAAAAATCCTCTGAATGATAGGGATCTGGCAGAAGGAAATTACTTTTCTACAGAGTAAAGCCAGTAGGTAATGGTGCAGCTTCATTATGGGAAACAAATTGGATTGCCCTCAGTTAGGGAGTGTGGGAGAGGACATGGCAGTTTCACTATCACTCTTGTATTATAATGTGCAAGCCTAGAATTGTGGTGAAGACAGAAGATGATCCTAGCATGAACAAGGCTCACCACAACTTGGAGCTTGCAGATGATAGCTTCCTTTAGGTCTCAAAGCCAGAGATGAGCTCCAGCCACAGCTCCCTGGCTCTTCTCCTGAGTCCCAGGCAGTTGAAAACAGGTCAGCCACCACTCTCACCAGTGAGTAGACGGCTCAGAACTAGGAAAGAGGTTTGGCAGTGATGAGACATGCAGGGAGTAGCTAGCAAAAGAGTGGATTGGTGATCCACACAGATTGGTGAAGGGTGGAAAAAAGATAAGGGTAGCTCATTTATTCATTTAGCAAACATTCATTAAGCTGTTTGTAAGGTATCAGACACAGGTAAGTGCTAGGGGGTCAGAAATAAAGGACACAGATCTAGCCTTTGTGGAGATCCATCTGGGAGCTTCGATGATAGAAGTGAGGAGGTTGAGGGGAGACTGAGAAATATCAAAGATGACACTGTAATGTGGATAGGAGCCGTACTAGGGCTTTTTAGGGTGGTATAGAAGACGAAAGCCAGTGGGTAGATCAAAGCTGGTTTCCAAAAGGGATGCTGTCTAAGCTGACTTTAGCTGAAGTCCGGGGAAGGGTGATGGTGGTAGAGTCTGGGGAAGGAAAAAACAAGGGAAGAGCATTTCAGAAGGACCATCTTGAAAAAATAGGGAGGCATAAACAGGGGAGGGGTGTGTGGTAGAGAAAGGACATGTTCAAGCTAGGTGACTGGAGAGGGAGACCCTGAGTGGGAGCATTTAGAGGAGCGGATTCAAGGAAAGAGGGGACAATACTGGTATACTGTCATGAGGGCATGAGGCTCCCAATTACATAGTAGATAAGTAGTTCTGTGAATTGATTCTTAAAAGAATGACTAAAGCCTTGTTTCTAAACATTGGCTGCACACAGGAATCACCTGGGGAGGTTCGAAAGCACAGATGCCTGGGTCCCCTCCCTCCCCCTTCTATAAGATCCTGATCCAAGGAACCTTGGAGGCAGTCTGGGAATCAAGGTCTTCAAAAACTCCCCAAGTGATACTACTGTATAACCAAGAACAAGAATGAACTTTGTGCCTGCGTTTTGTCATGAGTAAAATAGTAAAACATTGCCTAACTCACATTTAACAGAATAGTCTTTAGAATAATAAAAAAGGTTGGTTGGGGATAAGCATGATTGGTATGGGGCACGGTTATCAACCAGGGGTGATTTTGCCCCCGAGGGGACACTTGGCAGTGTCTGAAGATATTTTTGATTGTCACCACTGAGGAGGTAATGCTAATGGTATCAAATGGGTAGAGGACAGGGATCCCACAATGCACAGGACAGCCCCCCTCAAAAACAACGAATTAACCAGCCCCAAATGGCAATAGTGCCAGGGTTGAGAAAGCCTTAGGTTACAGGCAAATAAGTCTCTGGAGCTGGATTGCCTGGGTTCAGATACCAGCTCCACTGCAAAGCAGCTATGTAACATTTGGTGAGGTACTACTCAGCTTCTTTGTGCCTTGGTTTTGTCATAAGTTAAATGAAAGTATTACTTAACTCATAGGGATTGAATCGTTAATTCATGTGAAGGCAGAGCTGTCCCTGGCAAGTCCCCTACTCTTATTTGGGAAGTGAGGAATTACTACCTTGTAAATCTCAAGCTAAAATTTTGGAATTCCCCTTGCCTAGATCCTTGGGGCGGGGGGCTTTAATGTAAGGAACAAGTAGAAGTAATAGCCACTGTTTATTGAGAGATCACTACGCATTAAGCAATATGTGAAGTATTTTATATACATGATCTCATTTAGTCTTTACAATAACTCATATGATGTAAGTACCACGAATCCCATTTTATGGAAATAAAATTGAGGTGTTAAAAGTTGTGGAACTTGCCCAAGTTTACACAGGAAGTAGAGGGGGGTCTGTCTGGTTGCAGAACCTGGTCACTTAACATGGTGTTCTACAGAAAGCCAAAAATGCGGTATATGGGAAACAATAGAAAGAAGTGGTCATCATATCAGGTGTTTTGGCTCATTCCTGCCTGGATTTTCACTTCTGATCTGCTCTAGCTCCACCTGATTTTCCCCAGATCCTGAGTTGCCATGAAAGCTACCATTACAGTATTAATCTTTGTGGGCGGTGGTCTTCAAACCGACATGTGGGCATTTATTTAAGCATCATATACATATTCCACTGGATTGCATATTACGTGTGTTTTGTAACTGAAGTAAAAGCTAAGAAAATATTTTAAAAGGATAAAATAAAATAAACATAGAAGTTCTAATATTTTCTTACTGCATCATCCCGTAGGGTGAATGGATCCATTGTGGAGAACCCCAGTCTAGACAGTTCCTACTGCTCCTCTTATCTGTACCAAGAGCTCCTTTCTCCTTTATCTCACAAAAATAAGTTTACATTTATTTTCCAAGTAGCTTTGGCTTGGAAACTAAGTGAAAAAAGACAAAGGAAAACATATAATCTCTTAACCTGACTTAACCAAAGCCCAGCCACAGCTAGCTTGGCTGGGGTAGTTTATAGGATTCCAGCACTCTATTTCTTTTCTGCATCTCAGACTCTTTGAGCAATAGGGTGGAGGTGGGGAAAAATACAGGTGGTCAGGGGGAATCTTATCCACTGCCCCAGCTGCACCTGTGGATAGCAGACTTTTGGATAATATTCATGAGCTCTGCACATGTTTTGAGGTCTATACTTTTCTATTTGTTTTCTTTATTCTTGGTTTCCTGTTAAAAACCCACTTTTGAAAGAGTCCAGTATAGTCTTACTGAAACTAATAGGAAAGGGGATTTCTTACACCATGATTGGTTGGGGATAAGCAGAAGGTCAGAGACATCCGCTATGCTGGTAGCTGCCGCCATTTTGACTTAGGGTCCCAGGAATTGTAGCTAGAATTGGAGCCAACCCAAACAGGAAAAAACCCAAGCAAAGGAGTGAAGCAAGCTGAGGTGGCAACAAGATTTTCTCTCCGAGGCTCATTCTATTTTGTCAGAAATCCTCAATTCACCCTTGTTCATCTATTTTCATTTGAAACTTTCAAATATTAGGCCCTGTAATTCCTGGAAAGCAGCATACTGGAAAGATAGAAATTTGGATTTCAATTCCAAGAAGGCAGTTTTGTTGTTGTTGATGTGGTAATTGAAGAAACTTTATAGTTTTTCATTCTTGTGAAGTTAAGAATATATAAACAAAGCTGAGGATCAGAAAATTCTGAAGCAATAGTTATTAAAATGAAATGTACAAAGATATTTATGAAATCAGACAGGCAGTGAGAGGGAACAAAATGATTAGTTCTCCACACATGTAGTCATCTTTTATATCTGAGGATGAAGAAGCAGATGGTCTTGTTATCAGTTTGTATATTTGTCTGAAAAAAAGCAAACACCACAGGTGTAAGACCCACATTCCTTTCCACATGGCACGCATGTAAGAGTCTGGCTCTGAGTTTGTGATTGTAGATGCTGCTTATAGAGCCTGACACCATTTCATGATATTCCAGGGTGCACTGAATCTCTGAGCAAGAGACTACCCCATTTCTAGTAACCACACTCCAGGTCCATTTATCCAAGAACTTGATGTTGGCCTTGGAGGGGGTCCTCTAATGATTCTTTGACTTCATTCACTCAGAAATAATTATAGAATGATTACCATTGCCAGGCACTGTGCAAGGCACCTGTTTATGAAAAACTTGATCATGAACCCAGATCAGATACTTTGGATCTGAGGTGAAGACATAATAATAATTGCAATTCCTACCACATGGAATTGTTGTCATGGCAATGTTGACATCCTATAGAGGTACTTGGAATGGATACTGCATAGCTGCCCGGTGTGTGTCCGTTTCTTGAGAGATTCAGCTTGCTTCCTCAACTTTTGAAAATATGGTTATATGTATCTAGGAAAATCTTTGGCTGTAACGACAGTTTTTTTTGGTGGAGACATAAAAAGCATATAAACCTTGATTTTACATCTGTATATCTGCAAAGTGGTCTGGAATTTCTTACATGTTGTGTGTGAATGCTTCCAGAAGAGAGTTTTATCAGAAAACTGCTCAAAGTTACAACTCAAATTCAGGTGTCAGCAGCAGAGTGACACCTGAGGTTTGGGAACAGTGACTATCTATGGACCCCCTTGGAAGGCCGGCACACAAAATGGCTGCTCAAAAGCCAAATCCAACCTGCTGATGTATTTTGCTTGGCAAATAGCGTGTGTGTCTTGTGTTTCAAGTGTTTGTAGACAGAACAAACATTCTCTAGTTTTTACAATCTTTTTCGCTCACTCTTCTCTTATTGCCGTCTAATTCACGTGTTGATACTGGTTGACTGGCCTCTGGGTCTTCAACTTGGTCAGCTGACAGACATGGGAGGGAAAAAGAAGAGTAGGAACACCTGGAGCTAGTAAAAGAGAGGGCTAGAACGGCATAGAATGCAAAAGATGGGGAGCCCCGGGTGGAGGGTTTAGTCTGGAGCAAAAGTCCACTGAGAACAACATGGCGGTACAAGGAGCGGAGAGTGGAAGGATTTAGAGGAAAAGTTACTGATCTCCGTTAGGTATTCCACCCCAGGCACGTTACCTTCCTTATCCCCTTTAATAAATATAAAAATCTCTCACCAAGGGGCATTCTTACAATCAGGTTATAGTCAGGAAGGGGAGATTTGGAGGTTAAATACTTTTCCCAAGATGATGAGTACTAGCCAAAGACTGTAGTCTCAAGCCCAGGGCTATGTGACTCTGAAGGCAAACTTTTCCCACTTTCCTACCACCCTGGTTGTCATGATGGTTTTTGTTTTTGTTTTTGTACCCAGTCCAATTCTGGAGAAAATTAAAATACTTCTTGGTCACATTCTTTTTCACCTAAACTTAAAATAGTTTTATCATGTACTATAGAAAAAATGTGTATTATTGCAACCTAAATTATCCGTTTTATTGAATAAAGGATTGCCAGTGAGGAAGTCAGAATTATTTTAGTCACTAGGAATATTAACCCCTCAAATGTAGAAATACAGGCCAAAGAGCAGATCCAGGTGAGTTTGGGCAAGGGCTGCTCAGCCTATACAACATGAGCCATTCCAGGTTAAAAATTACAGATAGAATCAATAGTATATTCCTGATTTTTAGCCTAAAGGCAAAGCTAATGCTGCAGCCACAGAAGAGGTGTGTCAGGTCTTCGATTGCAGAAATATCTTCTCAGTAAAGTCACCAAAGAGATACTAAGAGTGGAAAAAAATGGCCTATGGTAGATCTAACGTAGCTTGCCAAGGAGAGAGAGAGAATGAGAGAGTTAGTTAATCATACAGCAGAGCACAAATATAGGGGAGAGGATGTCTTACAAACAAAGCAGGAGAGAAATAAAAAAAAAGGGGGGTAAGTCCCATTAATAAGTCCATAGGATGATGAAATTAATTATGTCTGAAATCACAAAGATAAGAACTTTCTTTTAATGTGTGGTTAACAAGGCACTATCATAAAGGAAAATGTAAATAATTAGGAAATAATTAAGAGCCTATAAAAGGAGCTCTTGATAAAAGGTTGTTAAAAGACCACTTAGCGTGTTTGGACATATGTAAAACAGGAATGTGTGTTTCTATTAAGATGTTGGTGACAACAGTAGTTAACAGTATTTGTTGGTCTCTGAGGACTATTATGAAAATCCATAAGAAGTGAAAAGTGGTAACAAATTTGTTTTACTGGTGGGCTTTATAGTAGTACAGGAACTCGTGAGAAGCCTGTTTTACATCAAGCATTTCTTCTGATAAGTTGAATGACCTGAGTAACCCACTTGTGTTGGCTAGTCCCTGTTTGCCCCTCCAGATCAGCTTCCTAATTCTGCTCCGTGCCCTGGATTGCTGACCTGTATTAATGACATCAACAAGATTCCCCTGCCCTCTCACTTCTACTTGCACTTGGCTAATGGAGGCAGTAGCAGGAGAGAAGGGGGCAGAAGAAGAGCGTGGTCAGAAAGTTAATTCTTCTGGCCACCTCCTTACTGGGCCACAGTTCCTGGGCATGTATGTTATTACAGTTCTGGATGAGTTCATGCAACCATCCAAGGATGGTAAGAGCTCCTAGTGTTGGAGAGCTCCAGTGGGCTTCACTCTGATTCTTCCTGCATCTTTGTATCTTATCCCTTTATAAAAGCTCTCCTTTAATTCCCTATTTGAGTGTGCCTTCTGTTTCCTGACTGCTAAATCACTGAACTTCAATTTTGAAGTCAGGTCAGTCTACTTTACGGAGACCTTCTAAGAGCCTACAGAAAGGATTTTAAGTAAATTTTAAAATTATAAATTACTCTAACAAAATGTCAAAAAAGATATTATTGGCCAAAATGCAAAATGGAAACTGTCTTGAATGAGAGGGAAGCAAGGCCACGTGGGTGTTTACATCAGAGAGTTTGTAGAACGGGCAGTCTCAGGACACCCAGCAGTTGTCCGATGGCAGACCTTGCCTTGTCCCTTTGTCTTGTCTCATAGATTAATGTTGGGTTGGCCAAGAGAGGCTCAGTGTTAGGCTTCTAGGGCATGCCATGGGACAAGGTTGAAGGTAAGATTCTGGATGAAAAAGCACTAATTGCTGCAAATGGCTCATGCTGCTTCTTGTAAATTGTGCTAAGTTCCTGTGCACACAGAGAGAGTCTTACTTTGAAAACATTTTTCATCTGCATGCATCCCTAGACATGCCTTAAAATTATGTATCAGCTTCAGGTCAGCACACTTAACTCCTTGTTGAAGCTGTTGGTTGGAGAAGAGGGTTCATATTCACATGGTATGGACAATCATGGCTTCAAATTGTCTTTAGCTGCTTTCATTTGGCACGATTCCAAACTACTTTCCACATACAGGGAGAGAGGAGGGAGCATCATAGGTCTTTGGAGTTGAAACAACTTCAGAAACAAGGTGAGTTCCTTCAAGGGAACCTCACAGTACTGCTCAACAGGCAAGGAATGGGGCTTGGGAAGAAAGGTCCCTTCCTCTCCTGAACTTCTGAAAGCCATGGAAGGAATCAGAGGCAGCATCTTATAAATACTTAACTGGTCCTTAGCTACAGCAGCAGGGACAACACCTTTGTTCAGTGCTTTTGGCTACTGGGGTAAGCCATGTGAATTGTCGCTTCTTGCCTTGCCCCTGGTCTCTTGGCCCCAGGGAATCCCTCCATTCTGTCCATTCCCATTACATTACAGGACAGCTTGGATTTTGTTTACATACTGGCCCCGTGTTTAATATGCTGAGCTCGGTGCAAAGCTTTCGCTAGGAATCATTAAATATATCAATTTCCCAAGTTAAAAGGCAGCCATAGAAAGGACAATCCGGTTGTGTTTTGAGTGTGCTGAGTGAAGTTGCTTCACCAGGCAAAGAATTTCAAAGTTTCAAGACTTCCAATCTATATGCTTTAATTATTGCAAGGTGAAGAAAGGCTTTTGGAGAACCAAGACATCAGTGTTATGAGATGGGCCGAGTCATTCAAGGCCTCATTAGCTCCCACCATTTTTCACACAACAGGGAGGCCAGTGGGCAGATATTAAAATCCTCGGGCTCTTTCCAAAAGAATCATAGTAAGATATATGCCATGGGATCCTTGAATTCAGTGCTTTCCTGAGGGGAGTAGTAGGTAGAAAACGGAGAGAAATTTTGCAAAGGCTTTTATATCTTATAAACACAAACTATACGAATAAAAGCATTGACACTGTGAACAATACAACCTTGTACATATATCCCCCCTCCTCTCGTGCCCCCCCTTTTTTTCTCTTCTGGAGAAACAAGAGCATAAAAAGGCAGAGAAATTGCTAGTTACTGAACAGAAATGGTGTTAGATCCAGCATTCCCTTCTTGGAGGCACTGTTATCCCCATGTCTTTCCAAGTATAGCAGCCTTGACAGAATGCTGCTCAAAAATGAACAGTCTGTATGCAGGCAACACTTTCGCTATAATCCCCTATTTAGTAGGAAAATAAGGAATTGCTTTTGCATGATTTGGTAGCCTCTGCCATAATATCGTATTACTGAAAAACACGCTATAGTTTCCTTTCCATAGCCCCAAATTGTCTTGTTTAACAATTTAAGGAGGAATTTAAACTAGGTCTTAACTCAAACTTAAAACAAATATTAACCTAGTTATGATTTAAAGCCAAATAATCTGTCCTAATGCATTTCCCTTGTGGGGAGGTACAGGGCAATTTAAAGAGATTTTACAAAAATAATAAATTCTACGTAAGGGAAACGGAAATCTACAATTCTTTTAACAGTGATTCACATTTCCAAGGAGCTGAAGTAGGGAGTCTCTGTTGGCAGACTCCATCGACTGCATGACCTGACATGGGTACAAGCAACCCCACAGGATATATTTCTAGTTTTGATGTAATCTGAGATTTTTTTTTTTTTTTTTGTCTTTAAACAATAAGCGAATCAAGTCACGGCTGAGTGGATGTAATGCTCTGGTATTTTAATGTATTACAATTTATGGCAGTATTTACTTCAGTCCTTGGCTTGCTGACACTAAAATTATCTTAAACAGGAATTATAACATAAAATTAGATTAGATATACTTCAACAAGTTTATCTCTAACAATAAATATATACAAATTCTGAAATGAAGTACCCTGCAATTTTCAGCCAGTGCTTAAAGTAATTACACATTCTGTGGTGATAACACATTTCGTTTTTTATTGTGCCACAAGCTGGTGAGATACCTCTACCACGCATGCTAATGCTAATTAGCAGATAAAGTGTAAATCTGAGGGAGCCTCAAATTCTGTTGCTTTGCCAGTTTTCTCTTGATTGGAAATTGCAGGCCGAATTTCCTCTCATTCTGACTTGGCCTATTCAGGCATTGCCTGAGATGTCTTTCTTCGGTACATTTTAATCCATCAGATCTGTTCGTCATTGAATGCCTTTCTGTTTGTTTTTCATTCAGCAGACTCAAACAGTTTCCTCTATAAC